CCCTAGAATTATATCTGTCTCACAAAAAAACAATACTTTTTAGATTATCAAAAGTGTACATTTGCAGTGAAACTCTACAAACAGTTTTGATTAATATTTTGTAGAAAAGAAGAAAAGAACTGTATTATAGAATGAGGTCTTTCTTGAGAAGGTACAAAGCTATTCTTTTAAATATTATATTATAATTTTCCCCCAGGGTGTTACAAATTATAACATTCTTACAAGAATCACTCAGCTAGGAATAATTATTTCGTTGATTTGCCTCTCCATGTGCATTTTTACATTCTGGTTCTTCAGTGAAATTCAAAGCACTAGAACGACAATTCACAAAAACCTCTGCTGCAGTCTTTTCCTGGCGGAACTTATTTTTCTGATTGGAATTAATATGAACAATAATAAGGTGGGTAGTTTTCACTTCTATCTTGATTTTGTGTTGTAAAGTAAATATACGGTATAAGATACAATCTGCCGTCTACTTCTAGTATTTCCTAGTATCAGTATGAATATTCTAGTGACACTGACTTCCCAGTCTAGTAACAGGAAATATAAAATGGTCATTTAAAGAAGTAGGGCCTTCGTCTGAGCTGGTGTATATTGACTTTGCTCCATGGGTTTCATTTAAACTGTCACCTTAACCGAGACTGTGGTCTCAATGTGTTTAGCATTTTCACTTTTTACATCCATTTGGATGCTGTACAAAGCCACATGGGTGGCTGTGTGACAATTTTCCCTAAAATCCAGGCCAGAGCTGCCGTCCCAAGCTGGCATTTAAGATATTGCGCTGTTGGCTGGAGGACCCCTTTCCCTTCTACATGTGAGGTAGCCTGTCCCTGTTACTTTTCATACAAGTTGGGCTGTTGACTTTTACATCTCAGATTAGTTTTAGGAAATTAAATTATGCCTAAATTATCAAAATACCCCTACTATAAGTAGGTGAATACAATTTAAAATTACTTGAAAAAATACGAGCTGCTATCCCTGAGGTAGCGCTCCAGTATTGATTGACTGAGAAATATAATTTTAAAAACACTTCATAATAACAAAAGTTATTTTGGAAATAATTCCTTGTGATGCCTAATTACACTGTTATCAAAATCATAAAAATTTGTCTAGATCAGGAAAGCATATAGACTACTCAGCTGTAACTGTGGGATCAACCTTGTCAATTTGTTTAAGCAGTTTTTCTGGGAAGATGTGCACCAATTTTAAAAGTTGAATGTAGTCTCTTTATTTTACCAGTTGCTAAGGAAAACACTAATGAACAGGTGTGCTCATGGGTATAGGTCAAGTTCTTGTCAATCAGCATTACATCTGGACTGCTGGACCACCACTTTAGAGTCACTAGGTTGCTGTGCATATGCTGTTATATTAACAGAGACATATTAATAGAATTATGACTCTTGCTTTCTCTGATTGAATTTCTAGCTCTTCTGTTCAATTACTGCTGGATTACTCCATTATTTCCTTCTAGCTGCTTTTGCATGGATGTGCATTGAAGGTATTCACCTCTACCTTATAGTTGTGGGAGTCATCTACAACAAGGGTTTCTTGCACAAGAATTTCTATGTCTTCGGCTACGTCAGTCCAGCCGTGGTCGTTGGAATCTCCGCCGCACTGGGATACAAGTACTATGGTACCACAGAAGTGTAAGTTGCTGTTTCTGTGTCCAAATCAACATACTTAAGGATGCAGTAGTCACAATAGCACATTTCAAGGCATTTTCTGCTGTTTACTTTTCAGATGTTGGCTCAGCACAAAGAATAACTTTATATGGAGCTTTATAGGACCAGCATGTCTAATAATTCTTGTAAGTATAATTTTCATTTTTTATTGTAGTACATAAAACCGATAATAAAAGGTGTTTAATAATCACCCACCCATTGCCAGCATAGCTGTGAGTGCTAATTATAGGGCAGAATTGGCTAATTTAGACCTTTTTATAGTGTCTCTAAATTATTTATATGCTGTACATTTAAATACATTACTAGCCTGAAAAATGAATGTTTGACAAAAAAAGCTCGATATAAGATCAGAGCTTTTTTTCTTACTTGCTTTCTTTCTTTTAACCCCAATGGTTTGAGAAATTCTGTGAAGCATTTCTGGTTTTTAAGAAGTAGCATCTTTGTATGTCGTTGGCATCTCAGCATGGCTCGGCAGGAGGTGTACACAGACACTATCCTAGCAGAGAGATAATCTGGTTTTTCAAATGTTGTGTGACTTAATCTCTTACCAGTGATCGGTCATCTTTGTAAGATTAGATTGTCGTCTTTATGGTTTTATCACTCGCGTGTACCCTGTCATCATCAAAGCTATTTTAAACTAAATTGCGACGTCAGAGAAAAGAACCCGCTATTTCACATGGGCAGACGAGTTAAGTATTGATAGCCCTATTTCAGCTGTGAAGAGGGCCTTTTTAATTCTTATTGGAAGTGGTTTCAAACCTGCAAATTTGGCAGGTATTACATGCTCAATTCTGAATCGAGACATTTTTGGTGCCTCAGGAGCATTTCTAAGTGCTATAAAGTTTAACAAACCATTCCAACTGTAATGGGGCATTATTGTGTATGACTGGGTTGACAGTGATCTGGCAATAGCTGGAGCTAACAGGAGGAGAAGATACAATGGTGAGGCCTCGCGACGTCTATGGTCAAGTCAGTTATAACCCTTCGTTGCTTTTTAAGCTATTTGGTGATAAATGTGAGGATTTGTAAAAAGGAAGAAGTGGCAGTGCTTAACACACACAAGATGATAGTAGAACAGTTTTATTTCAATACATTAGCCATCTCAAAGCTGAATAAAGTAGGTATAATTCTGGTCAAATTCCACCCCAGATTCCTACTGTAGATTGGGGATAGGCCGGGAAGCAACATGCCAGATGCAACTGCAGGGTCATGCCTCCCCAGTCTCACCCTCCTGGTGAGCACAGCAGACTTCAAGAGAGGCAAGGCACCATAACCTCTCTTGGCTCAGTGTTTCTGGGGTCAGATGGCCCTGATGGCCGACAGGTTACCATGGTAAAACAAAGTCATGGGGAGAGACCATCCTTCACTAGGAAATTCTTACAATTCTTAGGTTTAAGTTGACAATTTCCTATTTCCTCTTTGGACCTTATCTCTTTCTTCCACGAAGGCAGCAGGGTTGGGATTTTGTTGTTGTTGCTCTCATTCCTGTTCCTCATCTGCCTTCAGGTGAAGATTTATGGGCAGTGATGTATCACTGCACTGTTAGTACAGGAAAACTGCATTATCAAAATATACAAAATGCCAAAAATTTATGCATCTGTAACCTTGTTTTCAGCTCCAGCTGAGCTGTGCCTGATGCGGGATCTTAGGTACACAGTACAGAGGCAGAGCAGGTCTGCAGTGGCTTTGATATCAGTCTAGCTGGCCACAGAGGCAAATCCTGCAAGCTGGGCTCTGAGGCCCACAGCCATTCTTTGAGCACTCCAGATCTTCCAGCAATCCCTGCAAATTAAAAGAAAAAGGGGAAGTGGTAGAAGCTGATACGGGCCCTATGCACCAATGCAGTCCTCCTACGGATGAGGATAACAGCCAGACAGTTTCTTTTTTTTCTCCCACTCCTTTGCCTAAGTGAAGCCACACGAGGAGCTGTAGCTGGACAGCAAACAGCCCTGCGGTTGTTTTGCTGGTTTTGTTTGTGTTATGGAAGTGTTTTGTGATAACTTGTTTTCACAGTATTTGCATACCTTTATATACTCTTCATAATCATGCACTACTAGACCAGGGAGGAAAAGCAACTCACTTTCAGCAAGCTGCTTCATCTGCTGTGTGATTTTTTTGAGTGTTTGGACAGCTTGTTTTGATGGGGTGATGGCAAATTGAAGTCTAAACTGCAAGAGGGATGTTTTCAAAGAGCGCAGGGAGCTAGCTACTTTGCTCGTGCCCTGTCCAGGTTATTGTCTAAGGAAAATATGGAAAAATTTATGAAAATAGGTACTGACTTTAGAAGATTAAATTGGTGTTAGATGTCTGCTCTGTGGAAGGCACGTTGTTGGTGGTAATTCTGTTCCAACTGTCCAGTCTTCCTGTTCAGCATACTGCATGGGCACCACCATAACGAAGATTAAACTCTTTCCAAAGTAGTGGCACTCAAGAAGTCCTTTTAATTACAGAAGACAATCTCTTTCCAAGATTCCCATTCTGCCCACAGCTAACTAAAAAAAAAAAAAATTACTGATTAAGGACTCTGAAAAGGAAATGTTATTTTTGTTCTGGGGTAACCAGCTAGTGCACTGCAACCCTCATTTAGAAAGCTGGAAAATCTGGCACCTTCAAGTTTACTTTTAATCCTGAGCTTCGTCTACTAATAGCATTGAGTTTGCAGGTTTTCCAAGATAGCCTGGAGAGTTTGGATACCAACCCTCTGGTGAGCTGCTCACCACAAATCTGATTCTTCCACAAAAACATTAAACATTGTCAGCACAAATGCCCAGGTACCCAAATGGTGCTTTCAGTTTCTGTGAATGAGGGCCCAGGAGATTTGTGGTTTGGATTATACTGTGATATGCCTTTGAGACAGCATTTAAATGATGAAGAACAGAACCAGTTCTGTACCAACGGATTTTCTGCACATGATTTCAAATGCATCCTCGGGCTTTAAATCTGCAGTAATAGTGAAGCACAGGGAACTCAAGTGTTTATCAGGAGTACAAACTAAGTTGTCTGAATGCCTAAGCAGTAACACTACTTCTGAAGGTGTTTGCTTATTACTATTAAGGTTCTACTAAAATTCTTAAGTGTAAAGCAATGGCCTTATTGATCCCACCTAAAATTTTTTTAGTATTATTATTACTATTATTAGATTGGTGACTGTACATGAAAAGGAGTGGGTCAGAAGCTCTTTAGATGGAGCTAGGAAAGAAAGGGCATTTTAAACCTTTGTAAAGCAAGCTGCAAGCTGAAGATAATTTCTACAACTTCTTTCTTCCTCCTAATACTTGTAATCTTTAGAACCACAACCATTTTAGCTAAAACTATGCAGTAGATTAGATCAAAGCATAACAAGTATGGAGAAATTATTTATAACAAGTATTTAAACTTTTTAATAGAAAAGTCAATTTATCACAAGCTTTAAGGGACAAACATTCACACACACCACAACCCATGTCTGACTGAGGCAAATACAAATATAAGCTCCAGAGATAAAAGGTATGAAAATAAAAAAAAAAAAATCCCTAGAACATTTTCTTTTCTTTTGTAATACACTCTTTTAATAATAATCTTCCTGTAATAGGAAGTGTGTAGAATGGAAATAACCGTTTGTCTGCAGGGTAATGCAGCTGCAGTTTTGATGAGCATATAATGTCAGCCAAGAACAAGATCCTTCCCATTGTGGAGGACTTCTACATGGCTTTCCCCACCTCTGGCATGACAGCTCGCTCTGTTTTGAGGGGGAGCAGACCTATGTAAGTGCTTTATTCTGTATCACTGACATTTGTGGAAACTTCATCTTTTAAACTCTGTGATAAGTACCTCCACTTGTACCTATTGTGAGGGACAGCTCTATATTAGTTGTCCAGCTGGCAGCAGAAATGACATCGTTTGGAAGGGTTGGGCAAAGACTATTAACACTGTACTTATGAAAGTCTACAAGCCATTAAAATGAAAATTTGGCAGAGAATCACTGCTACTCCAAGTGCAGCTATAGGTAACCCTTCTAATATACCTCTCTCCCACAACCTTCTCCCATTAAATCTGTTCAGTTGAGCTTCATGCAGCAAGTTCAAAGTCACCTATGATAACATGATTTGCACATTTGCAGTGTTGACAGAGTCATGCAGGCTTGACTCTTGTACCCACTGTCACTGCCACAATAAATTGGCGTACCTCTGTGAGGCACCAGGACCCAGAAGTGTGACATGTTGTAACATTAACAGGTGCAATTTGCTGTTTAACAGTATAAATCTATCAGTATTATTTGTTGAGATCACCTCTGTAATAACAAAATACAGACTTGCTCTTTGAGGTTGGAACATTTCCAAAATTGAACATCATCCAAATAATCCTCTTTGTGGCTTTTATCCAAACATCCTAGCACTGTGCAGTGAGGAGGTGGCTCCAGTATGCTCTTGCTTGTTTTACTCCTCTAATGTGTGTTTTCAGGGACCTTGAAGGTGTCTGGCTTGGCTTCAAGCTCCGGTTTCTTGAGACAATTGGTAATTGTAGTGTTTGCAACTACAAAAATGGCTTATAAATGGACCCTGCAATTTTCAGAGCATTCTTGTAAACTTGACTTGGAACATACAAGCCAAGAATAGTTCTTGGGAGAGGTGTCCTCAGAAAAGCCAAGTTCTTTTTATAAAGCATTCCTGTATGTCATAAATTTAATGAATAATCAACTGTAAAGCAAAAATATTCTAAGAATTGCAGTGATTGATTAACCATACTGTTTTGAACCTCCCATGTATAAATGAATGGCTAAATGAATAAAATATACAGATTGCAGTTGCAAAATACAAAAAAGTGACATACGAGTGATGAAAGCAGGCTAACAGTAGAGTAATGCTTTTCATTAAGGAACTGCCTGCATATTCATTAGAGCTAGTCGATTACTTAAAAAATATATTCATCAGATAATTTATTTGATGAATTTTATCATTATTTGTCAAATAATTTATTCAACAAAAAAGGTAAAATTAATGGAATAGTGCATTCATCAAATCTTATTGGACAGCTCTAATACTTATTCAGTTCTGTACATTTAGGTTGATTCAGGATTAGTAATACTGCTGCAATCAATGCAGAAAAATTTCCTGCCAAATCCATTACTCTGCTGTTTTCTTATATA